AAAAAAAAAAAAAAATACAAAAAACAATAATGCTGCTGTGACTATTTGTGTACAAGTTTATGTATGAATATGTTTTCATTTCTATTGGAGTGGGATTGCTGAGTCATGTGGTAACTTTAAGTTTTTGATGAACTGTCAGATTGTTTTTCAAAGTGGCCACACCCTTTCACTTCCCCATCGGCAATGTACCAGCATTCCCACTTCACATCCTCATTGACACTTGTTATCTGCTTTTTTATTTTAACTATCCTTGAATCTAAAATGGTACGTCATGTGGGTTTTCTGTTTGAGACAGGTCTCACTCTATAGTTTGGGCTGGAGTGTCATGGTATCCTCACTGCTCACCAGGAACTCTGGCTCAAGCGATCCTCCTGCCTCAGCCACCCAAGCAGATGAAACCACAGTGCTGCCACATCTAGCTCATTCTTTGTTTTTGTTTTGTAGGGGGTCCCATTGCATTGTTCAGGCTGGTCTCAAACGCCAAGCAATCCTTCTACCTCATCCTCCTGAAGTGCTGGGGTTGCAAGTATGCCCCACTGTGCCGAGCTTTTGCTGTGCCGAGCTTCCGAGGTTTAACACGCGCTCTGCTAATGAGACGCGGCTGAACCTCTGCCTACACTCACTGGGCGTTTGTGTGTCTTCTCTGAAGAACTGTCTAATCAAATCCTTTCTCATATTTTAACCAGGATATTTCTTTTCATTCCTGAGTTATAATTATTCTTTATTCTGGACCCCTCATCAGATATGTGATCTGCAATGTTCTCTCCTGATGTGTTGTCTGAATATTCTTTGAAATACAAAAGTTTATTTTGATGAAATGTATCTTTTTCTTTGGTTGCTTGTGCTTTTGATCTCAGATATATCTAAGAAGCCACTACCTGATTCATTGTCACAAACAGTTACTATATTTCCTTCCAGAAATTTTATAATTATGGCTCTTACGTTTAGGTCTTTGATCCATTATGGGTTAACTTTTCTGGATAGTATAACTTTAACCTTTGCTTGTTTCTCTCAGAGCTAGAATCAGCCCCAGTGGCTCAAGCTCAGAGCTACAGGAAGGCCCCAGAAGCATCTGTCAAGGATTTAATTATGCCAGAACCTATGTGGGACTCTAGACACACCCAGCCTGGTGTCCTGTGTTAAGAGTTTGGGCCTATCTTAACAGCAGTGGAGGAGAAGAGGCAAGTGTGTACTGGATATGACCCAGGCTGCAGTGCAAGGAATGGAGCAAGGCTGGAGACGTGGCAGGAGGTGGCTGCACCAGCTCAGAGGAGTTAGGGCAGTGGGGGTGAGCAAGAAGAGAAGTGGGAAGATGTGAGAGGAGTAGGAGGCAGAGCAGGCAGGAGACAAGACTGGATAACAAAGAATACAACTTTGCTCAAAACAAGGTAAAAATATTGGTTTTATTGAGCTCTGAAGGCAACTGCTGAAGAAGTTCCAAACAGCTTTGAAGCAGCACAGACTCCCACAGAGTCTTGAACGCACATGGGTTAATGTGCACACCGTCCTTTGTTAAGGTCAGGTTCACTCCATGCGTTCACTTGCCGCACACCTACTGGCAAGTAATAGAACAGCATAGGCTTTCCAGAGTTTCAGCCTAGGTTTTCGCTCAAGTCCCAATGTGTGAGGTCTACTTATTTATTGATTCTCATCTACAAAAATGTGGATGGTCTCCAGATACCCCAAAGTATATTCACAGTTCAAAATAACTAAGAGTTCTTGGCAGAGGTGGGTAGATGGCCTGAGATCATGAGTTCGAGACCAGCCTAAGCCAGAGCGAGACCCCAGTCTCCAAAAAGAGTTGGGTGTTGTGGTGGGTACTGTGGCAGGTACTATGGCGGGCACCTGTAGTTGTGGGATGAGGCAAGGGGGTGGCTTGAGCCCAAGAGTTTGAGGTTGCTGTGAGCTATGACACCACAGCACTCTACCAAGGATGACAGAGTGAAACTCTCAAAAAAACTGAAGTTCTTATTCTCTGGAAATAGGAAACTTTGTTCTTCTATGGTCAAAATGATAGACTATTTTTTAAGTTTTTTTAAAATTTGTTTAGAATCTTGCTGACATTTCAGTTGACTAAAGCAGTAAACAGCTTGAAAATGTGCAGTGCTAAAGAAAAGCCCCACATTCTATAAAATTTGGAAGGCTCATTGGCTTAGACAGGTAAAGGTGAAACACTTTTTTTTAAGCATGCTATCTTAACTACCTTGTGTACTCACATGCTATGGTGGTGAAAGAAGCCAGGAGTTACCTAGATCTGAGAATTAGGGGAAGAGGGAGTCCTAAGCCTTTATCTACCAGAGTACACATCCAGTTTTGGCCTTATGCTGGAACCAAAGGGTTAAATTAGTGGGGCTTTAAAACTAGTATTTAATAGTTCTCTAAAGAAGTCTCCTAGTTAACCCCACATAGGGGTCAGATTAACAACTTCAGGATTTCTAGGAAGCAGGTGAGATGAAAGGGAAGGAGAATGTGCCACTCTCAGATGTTTGTCAGATGCTAAAAAAAGCCCATAACAAACAGGCACATGGCCAGGTAGGTGTCAGTAAGGGACAAGCAGTCAATCAGAGGAGGGTCTCCCCGGTGCAAAATCTTCTTTGCTGAATTTTAGACTGCGTATACCCCATGGAAACATGTGACAAGTTCACACATTGGGCCAGAGGATGGCCAAGGACGACTGAGAAATGCAAGGCAGACGTGGGCAGCGCCCGTCTCATCTCAGCATAGGTGACAGGCGCAGGGATTTCTTTCTGCTCAGGTGATAACATTACAGCTGGGTTTCCCAGTTGGGTTGGTCTTCTTGCCAGGACACCAATGACCAATGAACCAACATTTCTTTCTTTTTTTTTGAGCCCGATTCTCATTCTGTTGTCCAGCCTAGAGTGCCATGTGTCAGCCTAGCTCATGGCAACCTCAAACTCCTAGGTTCAAGTGATCTTCTTGCCTCAGCCCCCTGGGGAGTTGTAACTACTGGCACCTGCCACAACACTGAACTAATTTGTTCTATTTTCAGTAGAGATGGGGTCTACCTCTTGCTCAGTCTTGTCTTAAACTCGTGAGCTCAAGAGATCCTCCTGCCCTGCCCTCTCAGAGTGTTAGGATTACAGGTATGAGCCATGACATCCAGCCTGAACCAATGTTTTCTTATATTCCAAATCAAACTTCAGAAGGCATTTTCTTATGGCCATAAGGTTATAAAATGATAATACCTATAATTTTTCAGACATATGAAGTCTTCATAAAGTCCTTGGGCTTTTTAGACTTTATCCTCTTCAGCTACAGATACAACAGAAACGATCTATAAACCTTAAAAAGCTAATTTATTGAAGTGTAAGACAATTCTGTATTATATAATAATAAACAATACATTTGTATTTTAGATTAGACATAAAGGAAAACTGGCTATGAAAACAAATTGTGTCTAACAGTTAACAGAACCAAAGTCTCATAAACAGAAGTAAAAATTAAATTTGCCTTTAAAATGATTTTATAAATTACTTCTATCTTGCCCATAATTTTAGTTACTTAAAACCACATAAGGACTTTATGAATACCCTTCCCCAAACTAGTCAAGATACATAGGGGCTAACTTTTGTGGACTGTTCTAGGACCTAAATATCATTTACGACACTGTTGACTGGTGGAAAAAAATACCCTACAAATGCACTTTTAGAGTGTAGCTGATTTAAAAGCTGGGGACTACCCAAATTTAACAATGAAATCTTCATTAACACCATTATGAGTATGCCCTTGATGCTGCCACCTAAATTTGCTGAAAGCAATGTTTCCTTGTGATTATACAGCCTCACCAGGCAATATGAGGACAAGATTACCTACTAGATAGAGACTGTGGAGCTAGCTAGGAGTAAGTTAGATATTGATTTTTCCTCTGAAAATTCTATCTTGGGCTTATTTAATTAGGTGGACAACTCCAGGTAAAGGTCTTTCTACCTTCTATCACTGTTACTTGGGCCCTGAGCTTTTCTATTAAGATGGTATATGAAATATTTTAACATTATGCATATTTTTGGAATTAAAATTTATAGTGATTACAAAGCTAAGCATATAATACACCTCAAAGATATATAATTCAAAGCAGAGCAAACATTCAAATCTTAAGATCTTCCTACTTTGGGAAAACCAAGTGATTTCTTGGTATGGACCCTTTTCTTCCTTAAAACAAAGATCTATGGTGGTTTTCTTTCTTTTCAAATTTGTGTGTGTACTGAAGAGGGGGATAAGAATATATCAAAGTATTCGCTCTTCAAATAAAAGCCAATAACAAAGATGTGATCTCATTTTTCATTTCCTCATACATTTCACTGAAATAAAGTTACTTTTACTGAAGAATGTCAGGACATAAAGTTACAGAATGGACAATACCAGTGTGTCTCTTCTGAGTTTGGCTTTCCCCTTTCCACTTGTCTATCCCTGTGATCATTCTACGTAAGTAGAAGCAGAGTACTCAGTAAGTGGTACTGAGCAGTAATAGCATTGGAACTTAAAACATCATCTTTTATCCAAAAATTTCCAAGGGCTATACAGAGAAGTGCACAAATTTACATAAAAAGAAGCTAAGGCTTGAGAAGCAACAATAAATTATTTCTCTGTAAAGCAGATCAAATAGCAAGACAAGGAACCTTGACTTCCAGTCCCTTAAAGCAAGCTGGACACGATGCTGGACAGTCTTAATGTCTAGCTGTATTTTATACTTAACTTCTAAGGGTCATAAAAAGGAATGAATGGTAAATACAAAATAATCTTTTTGTAAACAATTCTTAAGATTATACCCAATGCAGAATATTTAATGAAGCAGTTCAGTCACAGCTCTTAAGTCACAAACAATATTATAACTCAAAGTCAAATATGTACTCATTGGCCAGATATATCCGTCGGAATATAAGAGCTGCCAATGCCAAAGTCAGGATGACAATCAGTACGGCTGACCCGCCATGATCGGTATGATTATCTCTCGGCTGCTGGCCCTGGGTTACATCTGGTGAAGTCGATGATCGTCTTTGACTCTGCTGCTGGGCCCGGCGCTGCCGAGGGCTCATGGAGGTATTCTTAGCTACAGGTTGGGTAGCTTGTTGAAAGGATGCTCCTGAGGGATTCTGGACTGCATACTAGGAAATTTAAAGAAAGTTTGTTTGAAGTTGGCAAAGAAAATGTGTATATACTTGTTATCTATTCAAAATACACAGAATTTCAGAATGCCAAATATGACTTAGGTCAAAGTATCGAGAATTATCTGTGTCAGGATTTTTGTTGTTGTTGCAGTTTTTTGGCCAGGGCTGGGTTTGAACCCACCATCTCCTGTATATGGGGCCAGTGCCCTACTCCTTAAGCCACAGGTGCCACCCTAAAAGTATCAAGAATTATCTGAATGCTGACACTAATAAATTATCCTCCTGAACAATCCAGCAACACAACTTAAATATCATAGGTAAAGGAAGAATTTCTTTACCTAAAGAATGGGTTTCTACCCTGCCTAGAAGCAACTCTAGCAGTATCTGCTAAGCATCTGGGCACTTCCGTTCTTCAGAAGATCCAGAAAGAAAAGAGAAAGTGATTTGCACTTTCAGCTTGAAAACAAGCCATTCCAAATAGCAAAAAGGACAACTCTTAACAGTGTGCCTTTTCAAGACACAATTATAAGAGGAACTTTATCTAACAAACACAATCAGTGTAACCTAATTCTTTGTACCCTCAATGAATCCCAAACAATAAAAAAACTAATTATAAAATAAAATAATAGTGTGCCTTTCAAGAACTAGTTTTATTCCCGTATTATCTCACTGTGTCAGTATGCTTCCATCAACAGTCAACAAAGTGTAAGGAGTAAGTTCAGACCAGGACATTCTTCACAGCAGTGTTATAAAAATTAGGTGTAGTTTTTCAAACCAGGCTTACCCTTTCTCACAATTTCCATCAAATGAATTGAACACAAGTCCAGAAACATCTTTTACTTAGTACTGAATACTTTATGTTGTCAAGAACTCCCTGGGTATGTGCTGAGAAAAATTTAAAGTAGTTGTATGTGACCCCATGCACCCCCTGGGTTGGTGCACTAGTCACTCCCCATGAAGCCCAGAGTGACAATTCCCTTTTACAACCTCGATGATTGGTCAGTTAAAAAATAAACACAATGTGATACCAAATGATTAAAAATCTTAAATGTGGTTGGCTTATAGCAAAAAAATGGTGACAGCATATTCAAGGGCACTCTACAAAATATGAATTACATTTTTATTGATTGATTAATTTTAGAGACAGGTTCTCTCTCAGTTGCCCAGGATAGAATGCAATGACATGATAACTGACTACAGCTTCAAACTCCTAGGCTCAAGTTATCCTACTGCCTCAGCTTCTGAGTAGCTGAGACTCCAGGCTTGTGCCACTACACCCAGCTAATTTTTTTTGTTTTTGTAGAGACAGAGTCTCACTATGTTGCCCAGGCTGGTATCAAACTCCTGGGCTTAAGTGATCCTCCCACATTGGCTCCCCAAAGTGCTGGGATTACTACAAGCATGAGCCGCCTTATTTGGCTTCATTTTATTTATACAGACACCTTAACTCACCCTCTACTGACTCAATGAGTTTTTGTTTGTTTTTTGCAGTTTTGGCCAGGTCCAGATTCGAACTTGCCAGCCCTGGTATATGGGGCCGGCACCCTACTCCTTGAGCCACAGGTGCTGCTCCCGAATCAATGGTTTTTAATTCTTTTACTCAGAGTTAACTGTATACTGATTATATATTATTGCCAATATACATTCTTTTGAAAAAATGAATGTTTTATTCAGAATAACCTAAACTGATTATGTATAAAATACATTTCTTTTCTTTTGAGACAGTCTCGCTTTGTCACCCTTGGTAGAGTGCCATGGCGTCACAGCTCATAGCAACCTCTAAATTCTTGGGCTTAAGTGATTTTCTTGCCTTAGCCTCCCAAGTAGCTGGGACTACAGGTGCCCACCACAATGCCTGGCTATTTTTAGAGATAGGGTCTCACTCTGACTTAGGCTAGTCTCGAACTCATGAGCTCAGGCAATCCACCCACCTCTGTCTCCCAGAGTGCTAGCATTACAGGCCACTTAAAATACTTTTTATGAGGTTTGGTGTCCATAGCTCAGCAGCTAGGGCGCCAGCCACATACAATGGAGCTGGCAGGTTCAAATCCAGCCCGGGCCTGCTAAACAATAATGACAACTACACCCAAAAAATAGCAGGGCATTGTGGCACCTATAGTCCCAGCTACTTGGGAGGCTGAGGCAAGACAATTGCTTAAGCCCAAGCATTGGAGGATGCTGTGAGCTCTGACACCACAGCATTCTACACAGAGTGACATAGTGAGACTCTGTCTGAAATTAAAAAAAAAAGAAATACTTTTTATGAAAGAAAATTTAAATATTCAGAAGAATCAAAAGAATCACATAATATAATTCAATTACTTTTTTAAAATGGTAAGATGATGAGCTTTGTGCTAGTATATGGGGGCCAAGGAACTATTCATCTAAGTTGTCTACAGAAAAACTTCCTAAAAAACTTAAAATAATCTGAACTTCTTAAAATTATCCTTTGGAATCATTTGAGTATAGTGACTCACAGAAGTAGAAAGGAACTACCGACTGGGTTAAAATAAAAGTTAGTGCTGACACTGAATTAGAATTGCTTAAACTTGGACTTTAGTGATCCTGGCCTTGCAGAACCATCTGCTCACTGCAGAGAGCAGACACACAGGGCCCCAGCACTCTGAGATCATACCGCAAGGCCTCACACGGCCAATTGCACTCATTGACCTGAACTGAGTTATGGTGGCCAAGACATCACTTCATCTGAAATCTCCTACTCTTTTGACTGTGCACCAAGAAGATAAAATTGTTTAATAAAGCAACACAACCAAAGGATTAAAGGGAAATGGGTTCTTAAGGAAAACAGCACAGTGTTATCAATCCAGAAACTACAGGAGGGTGACTCAGATTATAAGCTTTTATTTTATAAACGCTAAATATGGTAAACATGCTATACATGTTACAAATATAGGTTATCCACTTGTTTAAGGGAGGAACATCTGTCTGCCAATAAACCTGATGAGAACAGGAAGGACTGTCATTGCTAGGCTGGCTCTGCCCCTTAGTAGATGTGTGACCTTGCCAAGCAAGTTATTTAACCTAACACTCAACTCCTTCTTTTGTGCAAGGAATAACATCCAATTCAGTGGTTGTGAGGACTGAATGGGATAGTGATATAAAGTGCTTAAGACACGTAATTGCTTATCAAATGTTAGCTATTATTAATATTGTTACTATTAATATATCCCTTTGAAGGCATCTATCTATATTTAGGTTAGTAAAAAGTCACAACTTCACATAGGAAAGCGCTCTGACCCTTTATCAGTATGATTACTATATTAGAAAAACAATCCCTTAAAACATTGGCTCTGGATGATGTTTGGTACATTTATTTATTTGTTTAAATTAATTTACTTGTTTTCTTGTCGCCCTTCAAAGAGTGCCATGGCGTTATAGCTCACAGCAACCTCAAACTCTTAGGCTCAAACGATTCTCTTGCTTCAGCCTCCCAAGTAGCTGGGACTACAGGTGCCCACCACAATGCCTGGCTATTTTTAGAGACCAGGTCTCGCTCTGGCTCAGGCTGGTCTTGAACCTGTGAGCTCAGGCAATCTATCCGCCTCAGCCTCCCAGAGTGCTGGGATTACAGGTGTGAGCCACCATGGCCAGCCTAGTATATACATTTATGAAAATATTCATATAGATACAATGCTTTAATTAGATTCCTATGTTTCAGATGCCTTTTGGATGATATATCACTGATGATATAATTGAGATTAAAAAATTCTAAAATTTTTCTGTTTCAAATGATCACAGTTAAAGTCCCTAGTAATACATTATCAGTTCTTCTAGAATGACCAGCATCTGTGAGGAAGTTTTGTGTTTGCTTTTTTTTTTTTTTTTTTT